CAAAAAAAAAAAAAAAAAAAAATACTTTGGTGAAGGAGTTTTAATTTACCCCTCAGGAAGATAGCACATTATAAATCAGGCAAATTTTTTTGGTCCTTGTGATAAAGTGAGTAAATCCCTCTGCTCAAATGTTTTTGGTAGGGTGTATATCACAAGTTTTTCTTCTTGTCACTTGACTTCTCACAGGATCAGATCCACCAGTCTTCTAGATTATATTCACCGTCTACCCTCTTCCTCTATAAACATCAGCCTTTACTTAAGCCACATTTCTTTTAGAGGCATACTCAAGTGTTTATAATTTTGTTCCTACTGAGTCATAAAAATGCTGTGGTGTTTGGCTTTCTTAAACTAATATGTACTTTAGACTGATATTTTAACAGTGAAGACACGCAGCATGGAGAGTGGTGCTTTCTGGACTTGGCTTTGTAATATAAGTCCTTTAAATATGGACATTCCTCAAAGGTCAGTCTTTGGTTCTTTAGTATTTGCTTTTCCTAAGAGATCACATTCATTCCACAACTTTATCACCTTTCTGCCTTCAATTCCCAAATTCATCACCAAATACAATGTCTGTCTTGAACTATAGTGTTACATTTGCAGTTACCTGTCAGACAGTTCCACTTGGATATCCTGCAGACTCTTCTGTGTCTGGAACTAAATTTGCATCTGCTAACACCAGCTCTCTCTTCTTACATCCCTTTTTCTGTTCATTGTACTAACAGTTGCCCATGCTCAAAACTCTGGTGTCATCTTTGATTCCTGGAGCTCCCTGGGTCCCCAATCCAATCAGGCAGCAAAGCTCATCCATTCTTTCTTAACAATGTCTCTTGCATCTGTCCCTTTCCATTTCTGCCACCACTATGCTCATTTACACCCTTATCAACTCACACAGGACTACTGCAACGGCCTAATTAATCTCACAGCCTCCTAATTGTTGCCATGCTTCCAGATTTTCCAATTCATTCTGCATATTCTCTTCAAATTCATCTTCCTAAAACACCTGTTTGATCATTTCATTCCCCTGATAAATTCCTTAGCCTGACGTTTAAAGCCCTATACAATCTGGCCCCAACCTGGCCTTATGCATCTAAATCCTTGGCTCCAGGCAGTGCAGGCTGCTCACTGCTTGCTGGGTCCTCTGCGTGCCACCTCCTGCTCATCTTGATCACTCTCTGGGGATACTCCCCCTCCCATTTTGCCATCTACCCCTGCCTTGAGACTTCACTCTAATTAAACCTGCTATTTGGAGCTGGTCCTGACCACGCCAGATGGTAGTCACTTCTCCCCTAGAGTGATTAGATCTGTGCCCCTCCTTTGGCACTCAGCAGCCATATGAATGGATTCAGAAGTGACTTCTAGTCTCTCAACAGTAGGCCTTCATATCTTGTCTCAGCCTCACGCAAGAACTGAGTTTTTCACTAGTCTGAGATATGCCGCTGTTCAAGAATAATTGTTGATGGCTGAAGTTACTTTTTGGGAAAGGCTTGTATTCTCGTCTGTAAAGGACCCTTTTTGAGGTAGCCAACAACACACGCTAGGCCTAAGCAGAAGGAAGCAGTCCCAGGCCTGAACAGGTGCAGAGAGACTGCATGAAAAATAAAGATGTTAGTACACTGATTTCACGTACTCTTTGGGGTCTTCCTTAGTGATCTGGGGGTGAGGCCTCTCTGTGGGCATAGCACGTTGTCCCAGATGCAGCAGGGATCACTGAGGGATCAGGTGAGGCTGGCAGACTTATTCATCTCTCTAGGTGGCTTCAGTCACAGCTACCACTGGACTGTGTGTTGGAGCAAAACTCTTCAAGGATAAGCAGTCCAGAGCTGGGCCCTTAGAGAGGGATCCATGCAGGGCCTTATCTGCCACCTTAGAGTGAGATGGTTGTGTGCAATCAGCTGTGTTTCTTGGGCCCCGGTGACCTTCCACATCTCCCTGGGTATGCCAGATTGTCAGACTGTGAGGCACATCTCTAATTCCATCCCTGGATAGTCAGCACGAAATCCATTTTCACACTGAATGAAACACACTGACCAGGAATGGGACATGTTCTGGATTGTACAGAGGGTGACCCCTCAGGGTTAGGAACAAGACTTCAGCATAGCAGGGTAGATATGGAGAAAACAGCACCACAGGTCTAGGCTGCCACAGAGGGCAGCAGTGACCCTGAAGATGGCAAACAGTCTCAAGCACTATTGGGGATGAAGTTTAAAGATAGAAGTTAATCTTTTCCTGCCACCAGACTAAAGTGAATGTTCCAAAGTCAGTCTGGCTAGAAGAGCTATGGGTCTGAATGGGCAGCAACGTAGAAAACCAATCTCTGCCTGGGGCAGGGCAAATAATCTTTCATTCTGATTTCTGAATATAAAATAAAGATACTCTTCATTCCTCAGAGGTAATTGAGAAGCTAAAAGTGAAAATGAATCACAGTGGTTATGGGTGAAGAAAAAATGGCTTTAGAAAGTTTCAAAAGAACGAATTAGTGGGGGTGGCACCTGTGGCTCAAAAGGGTAGGGCGCCGGTCCCATATGCCAGAGGTGGTGGGTTCAAACGCAGCCCTGGCCCCCAAAAAGAACAAATTACTATAAAACTAGGAAATGGCTCCTTCAGCACTTGTAAAGCTGCTGTGTCATCCTGAATCGCGCTGAGCTACAGATCCTCCTGGCCTTCACACACACACACTCCTATCCATGCCAGCCCCGCCGAATCTGTCTCTGGCTTCCTCTTGCACTCTGTCCTTCCCTCCCGCCCCAAATCTGGCCATCCCTCCCTCAGTCACAGACAGTACCTTTGTATCCTGAAGGCTGGGCCTCTGGTATACCAAAAAAACACTGTCTCCTTCCTTTCTCATTTCTAAACTAGAAGGAAAAAATAACAACCCTGAATCAGAGTCTGCTTTCATGAACGGCATCCCATAGGAAAGTCAGAAGATGGTGATCAGCTCCATTGGGGGCAAAACTTGTTTTTTCAAGAGCAGCAGCTAGGCATGATTCTTCCTCAAACACGTGGTGTGTAGACTGGACTCAGGCAGCTCTGTGACAGTTTTGGCCCAGAATGCAGGCCCCAGCTTACACCAACTCCAAAGAAAAACCCCTTGTGTTCATAGTGGGGAGGAGTATCATCCACCAGACAGCCTGAGTCCAGCTTGTTTGTGAAGGAGATTTGGCAGAAGGAGAAGGAGCTAACACTAGGAGCCCCAAAATCTGGTGGTTTGCGAAGGTGTTATATGGCTTCCATCTCAAAAATAAATTCAGTATAATGCTCTGCTTCCAGTTGAATGTTCTGCCTGACTTCTTTATTAATGCCCTCTTGAAAATTCCTGGAGTTAACCATCTTAAATTAGTGGTTAGATTCCACTTAAACCAAGTGGCTTAGACCAAACTTGGAGGCAAATCCACATCCTAGAACACAGAGTCTCTCAAATAAGGCACTAGACGCTAGATATTTTCTGTGTAAGCCGGGGAAGTTATTATATCTTCTAACTGCTTATGGTGACACTAAATAAATTAACTGCTTTTTACCAGGAGCAGTGGCTCATGCCTATAATCCTAGCACTTTAGGAGGCCAACACAGGAGGACTGCTTGAGGCCTGGAGTTTGAGACCAGCCTTGACCAAACACGATGAGATCCAATCTGTACCAAAAAAAAAAAAAAAAATAGAAAAATTAGCCAGATGTGTTGGCACACTGGTACTCCCAGCTACTCAGGAGGCTGAGAAAGGAGGATTGGAAGTTCAAGGCTGTAGTGAGCTATGACTGCACCCCTGCACTTCAACCTGGGTGACCTTGTTCAATAAAAAGCAAAAAAAAAAAAAAAGAAAAGAAACTTTCTAGTTTTCCCCACTTAACATCTCTATTTCCACAAACACACTTCCTCACTAGTCACCCCTCACAGTAGCTTG